TCAGCAGAGGTTATGTGTTATCTCCACAAATGGTCCAAATCATGAGGTCCATAGTTACTGTGAGCAACTGCCACTCTGGTCTGAGCAGCTGGTGGAGCTGAGCACTACTGCATCCATGTACCCATCCCCTTATTCATATGTGCCTACAGACATGTTCGGCTCTATCTTCTGCCTCGGTGTCATCCTGCCAAACGTCTGCGATCCAGAGGAGTCCAATGCTGAAGGCTCTGGAAACCTACCACAGTGCTTCATTATTAGGACCATTAGAAAGTCTTTTGTTATGACCTGTGAATCCACAAGTATGTGAAAAACGTTACTCCCTCTCCCTTCACAGCAGCGTTTCTTCTGAAAAATATCACATCACCTTTTGCCTTCCTTTGGCTAGTCAGCACCCATTCTATTTGTACTTAGAAGTCTTGTTGCCTACAGCTCTTGCTTCTCCCCAGTATTTCTTTCATGGTGATGGCTGACCATGAGCAGCTTGTGCCCAGGCAGCCAAGAGGCCACCAGCATCCTGGCCTGTATCAGCATCACTGTGGCAGGGGGACAGGGCAGTGATTGTGCCCCTGCCCTAGGCACTGGTGAGGCTGCACCTTGAATCCTGTGTTCAGCTCTGGACCCCTCACTCCAAGAGAGACATTGAGGGGCTGGAGCAGGGCCACAGAAGGGCAACGGAGCTGGTGCAGGGCCTGGAGCCCAAGTGTGATGGAGAAGGGCTGAGGGACCTGGGGGGTTCAGTCTGGAGAAGAGAATGCTCAGGGGGACCTTACAGCTCCCTACAACTGCCTGACAGGAGGATGGAGCCAGGAGGGGCTGGGCTCTGCTCCCAAGGAACAAGGGATGGGACAAGAGGAAAGGGCCTCAAGCTGCGCCAGGGCAGGTTTAGATGGAGCTGAGGAACAATTCCTGCCCCAGAGGGTGCTCAGGCATTGGAAAAGGCTGCCCAGGGCAGGGCTGGAATCATCGTCCCTGCACGTTTTAAAGATGTGTAGATGTGGCACTTGGGGACATGGTTTAGTGATACACTCGGCAGGGCTGGGTTCACATCTTAAAGATCCTTTCCATCATAAATTATCCTATGATTCTAAACCCAGAGTAAAGCAGCTAACATGTTGCTAGCATGAGTAAGCTCAGAATGTACCTCTGTGCTACTCTCCCTTCGCACATGCACACAGGACTGCAGCAAATACCTTTCTATTTGCACCATCAACTATTAATTAGTACCTTCTCAGTGCATTTTCCAACTAGTTTTGCACATAATTTGTAGCAGTTTCAACCCTTCCGTGCTTCCTATTTTGGTTTATGAGAACATTATGTGCAACAGAGTAAAAATAATAAGTACTAAAGTCAAGGTATGTCATATCCATTTTACACATTCTTGACAAAGCAGCCTGGCAACTGTTCTGGTGTCCCAAACTCATTTCAGATTGTGTATGTTCCGTATTTTGGTCAGATTTTTTCAGTATAGAACTTCGCTATGCTACCTGTTAGTATATCTGTACCTATATCTATATGAAATACAAAACCGGACTATAGTGTAGGCTCAAAGGATGCTACACCCAGTGTAAGGAAGGATTTTGCTGAAGCACAGAGGGATGTCAGAGTGACCCAGAGTATAACCTAAACCTACTGCTTGTGCAGACCTCTAGTGGCATCTGATGATGGACATTGTATTCTATTCCTGTGAAGACAGGCTGAGAGAGCTGGGCTGGGTCAGCCTGGAGAAGAGAAGGCACCTGAAGGGGAGACCTTAGAGCAGCTCCAGTGCCTAAAGGGGCTGCAGGAAACCTGGAGAGGGGCTTGGGACAAGGGCCTGTAGGGACAGGCCAAGGGGAATGGCTTGAACCTGCCAGAGGGGAGACTGAGCTGAGCTCTTAGGCAGAAGCTCTTCCCTGTGAGGGTGCTGAGGCGCTGGCACAGGGTGCCCAGAGAAGCTGTGGCTGCCCCATCCCTGGCAGTGTTCAAGGCCAGGTTGGACACAGGGGCTTGGCACAAGCTGCTCTAGTGGAAGGTGTCCCTGCCCGTGGCAGGGGTTGGAGCTGGATGAGCTTTAAGGTCCCTTCAACCCAAACCATTCTGGGATTCTGTGATTCATGCTGCCACTGTAGCATGTGGGGAGATAATCCAAAGATACTTTGCTATGTAATGACTAGGAAAAGTACCAATGGAGGGAGTCAGGATGCTACACAGCTTCTGCAGACATGCTCTGGGGGCTTCAGAGAGATAACAGATCTTATTCACCATCCCGTCACCGAAAGCTGCAACATTTGCTGTTCACACCTATGCTTTACATGCTTTGGGCCACCAAATTACATTGAGTAGAGCAGTCTGAAACCGAACAGAGCTCTTGGTACACACTAAGTTCATGGACCCATCCTGCTCTGAATAACCACCCTTGGCCCCATGAAAAGGCTGGCCAGCTCACTATTCTGTCTCTCAGAGTAGGCTGCGATAGATGCTTAAAGAACGTTAAGAGCAAGTCAATTATAGGGAGATCCTTCCCGTGAATATATCCTCCAAGCTTCCAGCAACATACAGTTTAGGAATTTAATGAGTGAAATCTTTCTTTAAAGATTTCACCCCCCCTCTTCTCCCCAGTTTTATGACTCCTTTCTGAGCACAGCTGCATTTCACACATTCACAGTGCTCTACGTAGCCATGAGGATGGAGCTCCCACCTCTATCGCTGCAGAGAAAAAGCCTGAGCAAAGTTTCGGATCCAGAAACCTACTTTGGTTCATCTCAGACAGAGCCCACATGGTCCCAGACCACATCCCCCCAGTGTGTATAGTAAAACAAACACGATTTGCCACATTCTCAAGGGATTTGAAGACCAGCTAAAACATTCTGGCTGTAGCACAGAGGACAAAGACTGGTTCCGTACGGGATGACGCTGCTGCCGATACCGTGTATGCAGTGGAGGACATGGCAGGGTAGCAGAGGAGTCAGCTGTATCTCATCTTTTATTCAGGTCTGCAAGCCTGACAGCTCTCACCATTTGCCAGCTGGTGACAGGTACATTTAAAAAAAAATATTATTTTTCTGACATCCTCGATTCTCTAACAAAGGAGCTATTTAAAAATTCAACATGCTCCCTTGGAAAGCTTTAAAATAGTTTCTGAACGTAACTGGCATTACGCTGTAACCCAATATTAAATAGTTTTGGGGAGGAATTGTTGAAATTGTTGAGGAAAACCTACATTTAAGTGTTACAAAGGAAAGGATGTGCTGCTATCTGTGGGAAGCATGGGGCTGTCATGCAGACGATCTGGCCACCACTAGCTTTTCTAGATCCGGACAAGTAACTAGAGGAGGTCCCCATCTCAAGTCAGGAATGAAGAAGACTTATCACACCAAGACTTTACACAACTCAAAGACATCTTGCCCTTACAATCCAGGCAGTAGCATGCTATAGCTGTAGTCTGCAGCTGCCTAAAGTTTGGAGAGCTTTGATCTTTGAATCTTCTGCTCTCCAAGCCCTTGCATGACCAGAAAAATATGAAGTAAGAACAGAAGAGGAAGAGAGAGGTACAGAGCAGGATCTCAGTCTGACATTAAAAATCACATTCCTTTATGGATCATCAGAAGTCTTTCAATCTCCTGTAATATTTTAAAATAAAAGCAGATCAAAACAGAACCTCAGCAAATTTTAAATCATCTGAATAAATGTGTTATTCACTTCAGCAAGAAATTTAGTGCCCTGTTCAGCATCTCCTTCCAGTATTTTGCATCTAGTGGTCACAGTGTGACTTCAAGCATTGCCTAGCTCTGCCAAAACTGAGTGGAGGACAGAGATATATTTATTGCAATTAAAATCTGTTATTTTCTACCAGGAATCATTACTCAGATTCTCAGTATGAACATTAAAGCCACTATCAGCTGCAGCAGTAATTAATTAACAGCTAACTGTTTTCCAAAGTCATACTCCATGGACAGCCACACTGGTAACAGCTTATACTCCACAGCTATTTAATTTTGTTTCCTTCTAGTATGTTTACTTATCCAAAGGGAGTGCTGTGGAGAGACACTTTGCAGGTGAAAGACAAGAGCGTTCACATACAGAAAGAAAACTGGGGTCTTCCAGTATCTGAAGGGGGCCCCAGTATCTGGGGATGGACTCTTCATCAGGGACTGTAGTGATAGGACAAGGGGTAATGGGTTCAAATTTAAACAGGAGAGATTTAGGTTAAATATTAGGAATAAATTCTTTAATGTGACGGTGCTGAGGCGCTGGCACAGGGTGCCCAGAGAAGCTGTGGCTGCCCCATCCCTGGCAGTGCTCAAGGCCACCTTGGACACAGGGGCTTGGAGCAAGCTGCTCTAGTGGAAGGGGTCCCTGCCTGTGGTACGGGGTTGGAGCTGGATGAACTTTAAGGTCCTTCCAACACAAACCAGTCTGGGATTCTATGGTTCTACAGCCCAGGGAATATGGCAGCTGAGTTCCTGTTCCTAGCTATTAAAAAAAAAGTAATTCCCTATATACTAATTTATTGGCTGGTAATGGGAGTAAGAGAACAGAAAAATTGGTTGGTGATGAAAGTTGGCTTTTTCTTCCCTAAAAGACAGGTTTCTAACAAGAGGCAGTTAACAGAAGCTGATGCTGTCCTTCCTTACGGGAGTGAAAGATTCATAGAATAGTTTGGGTTGGAAGGGACTTTCAAAGGTCCCTTCTGCATAAAGCAGGAAGGGACTTTCAAACCCTTCTGCATAAAGCAGGAATATCTTCAACTAGATCTGGTTGCCCAGAACCACATCCAGCCTCGCCTTGAATGTCTTCAGCATCACAGCTTGGGAACTGCTTGCCAGGAGAATTCTGGCTCTGCCAAGTTAAAGATGTTGTCCAGAATCACAGTGGAAACCCAGAAAATAAGGAAGAAAACCTCAACATTTTAATACTTTTAAAACTAAACTGATAAGATGATGAATATTTTCCACTTCTCAAGAGGATAAAGAGATCAGATAAACCACGTGTAAGCATCCTCTAAATAATGTATCACTCACCAGATCTATATTTTGCATTATGTCCTGGAAGGAAGGGTGAGTTCGGAACTGCTCAAAGAGATCCCGCTTGTAAAGCAGTGCATACACCAAGTTTGGGTTGTGATGAAGGGAATTTGTCAGGCAGGAGTTGATGATCTCCAACATCATTCGGATCACTTCCTCGATCACATTCAGGTCTTGCGCCTTTAAGAAAGGAATAAAAGGTTAGTGTGCCCTTTTCCATTGTAAAACCTATAAGGTAGTAAGGTAACGCACAGGTAATTATTACTAATGGAGCTATTAGCTGGTTAAAGTCTCCACAGTGAGCAAATCTGCCATATCTATCTGGAAAGAGATCTGTTTTCTCCTGTAATAACCAAAATCTTAACTGAAATGCACTGCACTCTAGCATTCAGCCTCATAGCTTTACTCTCTCAATAGCAGCCATCTTCTCATGCCAAAAAGCATTAACATATTGTAATCAGCCAAATTCACTAGGGGTTAAGTGAATGTAAGTCTTTTCAACCCTTCCTATGTCAAGTAAAAGCATTTCAGGATACATTTAATTCAACACATTTCCCGGTGAGCCCCTGCTTGGGGAACAGGGATAGGGAGGAAAAGAGAGGAAAAAAAATCATAAAAATTAAAAGTGGCTGGTGAAAGAGAAAAGCAAAGACAGTAGAACAAAACTGGCTGGATCAAACCTCACTGACCCCTCAACATCTGCCACTGTTCTCCAGACTTTATCCTGGCCTTTTTTTGTGTGTATTTTTAGCATAGAAGAATACTTGTAATGAATGATAAAAGACATCTTCTGTAGTGCGCTAAGCCTTAATGCTCAAGATAAACTTGTAGAGCTTTTCATCACGTCAATGCCTGTGGCAAACCATCCCTGATGATTGTGAAATTCAAACCTTCTACACTAAGCAAGCTGGCATGAGAAACCCTGCTAGCTTCCTGGGTTTCTCTCCTTGGGCTGCACATCAGGATGTACCTGATACAGCTGTTCATAAGGGAGAGCTGTCTGTCCTCCCTTGGGATAGGGTAAAAAAGGCAAATCTACTTTGTTTGTTTTGTTAGGTCTCTCCACCACATCAAACATTGGACTGCGAGACTTTACAGGTCTGGCAAGAACGTGAAGCATACCAAACCGGCTTGAGTTTTTCTGTTTAGAATGAACACTGAAACCACCGGTATTTCCTTTTGCTGACTGCCTACAAAGCACTCAATTTTCTGAGTTATCAGAAGGCACTTAAATACTTCACAACGAGGCTGTTCTCGCAACAGCATTTTGTTGGACTGTCATTCAACCCGTACGTAGTTATTTTCTTCTATAAGGTAGCATTGTGGGAATCGTCACTTGTCAGGTATATGCTCTTAGCAAGGCAGAAGAGAACACGGGAACATATCATTATCCTGGTTAGATTCAATTAAAGAGCAAAATTCTTTGGTACCACTTTGCTCTGGCTACTTTCAATTGAAAAAAAAGATAGGGCAGCAACATTCCCTTAACCTACTCCTCCGTCTCTTCCATGGTGCTGAGGATGCTGAAACGCATCAGCACTATGATTTGGTTACCCACATTGCTTGACTTCTGCATGGACAAAGGAGATTTAAGTGATGAAAGCCTTCTTAAATTTGAAATTTTGAAACTTGAGACACTGGCACAGGGTGTCCAGAGAAGCTGTGGCTGCCTCATCCCTGGCAGTGTTCAAGGCCAGGTTGGATGGGGCTTAGAGCAAGTTGCTCTAGTGGAAGGGGTCCCTGCCCGTGGCAGGGGTTGGAACCGGGTGAGCTTCAAGGTCCCTTCCAACACAAATCAATCTGTGATTCTATGATTCTATAATTCTTGTCTAAAGAACAGTATTTGGTGCATACACTCCAATTAAATCTCCCTCTTCAGCAATGATGCCTGACTGTGGAGGTTACTGATTTTTTTCTGAATGTGAGGATCTCCTCCTGTTTCTTTATTGACTTTGCCTCTGTCACCTGAATTACCACTGTAGTGTGGTAATTCACACTGCAGTGTGCTAGCCATGTTGGCAGAAACCCTTACACAGCCGATCACTACAACTACTTAGCCTGTCAGTGTGATCACATTCTTCTATGACAGAAAAATCTTTACATTCAAAACACAGGTGGCTCCTCTGTAGCTTCCTATTTATAGTGCTATAAAATAGCATCCCTGTTAGATGATGTGAAATGTATTTAATGCAAAATATTACACTAAAACTGAAATAATTGCTCCATCAATCCAGACCTGGCGACCTCACCTGGGGAGTGGTACTTGCCTGTCAACTTGGATTTATGTCAGAATATAGTATATTATGGTGGCTTTTAAAAAGCTCTAAGCATTGGTGTAATTCTCTCCCTAGTGCAATAGGATGATCTGGTGACTGAGACACTATCCTAAAATACAGAATACATCACTTCTGCAGAAATGTTACGATTCAGGATCAAGTGAGATCTATCCAGTTACCAGAAAGGTAACAAGCCACACAATTGCTTTTCAAAAACTAAATGCTTTTTAATAAGATATGCTGAACTTAAAACCTGGGCATCACAGCCAGTTTAATCAGAAAGCATTGCTAGCCATCTCCAAACATGTTATTTCAAGACAAGGCAGACTCTGCTATAGCTCAGCTTCAAACAATTAAAACCTACCAGAGGTTATTGCTCAGTAAATACATTTAAAACTTTTAGCAGCTGATGGACAGAACCAACCATCTCTTTTTCAGCTACTGTATTCCAGGTAAGGAATCTGGGACCCTAACGAAAAAAAAAACCCAGGAGCTACAGTGAAGATTTTTACTGACAAGTGACTATATAAAGAAACCATTTAGAAGAAGACTGAGCTCCATAAAAGACAGAGAAATGGCACTGAATCACAGTATTGCATATATGCTACCTGGAGAGCTGTATGCTCCTGTAATTAGCAATTAAAGCATTTGTAAAGGTTTAAAAGTTTTCAAAACAGGAAAAAACAAGCAGAAAGTCAAGGACGGCGTTTGGATGAGACAATGGAGAACTGCTGTAATAGCTGACAAAATGCCGTGAGCTTTTATTGCTCATCAGTATCAAGCTATAGCCCCCTGTATCTAGACATGGTGTAACAATAGATATACATAAGGTTACAGAACCATTTGAGCTCCTGAAGAGAAGTTTATTACCCTGCTTATTAGCTTTCAGACTGAACACAGCTGAAATGCTCAACAGGTATGGCCAAGACAAGGACTACCACATCATCCACTGCAACCTTGTAAGTCTATTTCTTTGACTGAATTAGTTGTCCTGTGACAAAAAAAGCCAGCTATTGATCTGGGGGGGGGGAACAGGTAGACAAGTTTCAATCTGTATTTCAATGGGAGAGGAGTTAGAAGTAATGACATTTTCCTATTGCTTACAATTGGCAAATTCAACATGGCATTCACATTTAAAATTATCACAGTGTTCCTTTACAAAACAGGGCTCAGATAATGCCTCTGTTAACACTGATGAGCACCAGTCCTCCCCCTTGTTTTCTTTTGTTTATGCCCATATAAATAATTATACCCATCATTAAAGGAACCGTGGAAGCTAAAGCTTGGTACCGACTTTCTGAGACTGAAATCATGACTACAAAGGGGATGGAGAGGTAGGCACAGCACTAAGCATTAATGTGGGTAATCCTAGGCAACCACCCCACAGTTTCTTCTCAGGAATGGAATTAAATGTGCTACCTTTTCTGGCAAAGATTTTAATTTTTAAGGCAAAAAGCCAGATACCCGATCATGTTCTAGTGGACAAGGAACAAAGCAGGCGACAACAAGAGTCCAGGTACAGTTGTGGGTAGCCTGGGTCTCTTTTGTTCAAAGGAAAAGGAACAAGCAAGTGATAATGCCAGAGAAAAGAGAATGAAACCAAGCTGACAGGATGCACAGGAAAAAACAACGAGCACAGGAATGAGAACATTATCTGGAGAAAAATAATTTGAGTTTGGTAAACACTAATAAGGAACACACAAATGTGCAAAGCCAAAGCAAACTATGAGCAGAGCTGGATGTTCTTGTCTCTGACCATCCTGGAATGCTGTTGCTTTCCTTACTGCAATATAATTAACGATTAGCATGGTATCCTTCTGGAAAAAGACTTCCAGAAAATCCGGTACTTATATACGGCTGTAAAGACACTTATGTGTAAAACCAGTTGAAAGTATATGGCTTATAAAATACTAGAGAAGTCAAGCAGCCTAAATACCAAGATACAAGAATCCAGTGTCACCAAAAACCTGCTTAATTTATGGTAGCCATCTTCTGGTTCCTACATCAGAACATTCTGAGTGCCCACCCTTTTAATTTGCCATTAATTTTGATTTTTGTAATAATAAAGAACTGGATAAAAAAGTTCTATTATGAATGAATGCAGATCTCCAGCCTATAAATGCTGACCATTCTTAGGAGAAAAAGGGAAGCATGTCCATGTGTCAGTAAGGTTAACTGCTTAACCATCCCTCATGGCTTGTACTATCTAATAAAAAAAATAATCTGTTTTCTTTCCTCCTATTCTATTTTGCATGGAAAATTATAATTATTTGAAAACTAGAATTTCAGTCACTTGTGTTGTTATGAAGAGACATCTATAGCAAGGATGGGCACGAGTCTCTTTCATGATGAAATAAGCTTTGTGGTTAAGTTTTAGAGAAAGGAAAACTTTTAAGACTCCTGCTAGCCTCGCTGAAGCCATTTCCTCTGCGACTGCAGCCTCTGACCCCAGCGGCCTGATGTCCACTTGGGTCAGCCTTCGGCTGTCACAAGAGATGGGTCCTCACTCAAGTGCTCCTGTCCCTGCTTTGGCTCCGAGCCATTCAGAAGCCTCTTGCTTGAGCCTGGCTCATCTGTTGACCCTCAGTCCTGGGCACAGGCTATAAGCCAAGCACTGACCAGTTCTGTATGGTACCTGGGGTATTCTACAGCATGGATGCAACCTGCTCTAGTGGAAGGTGTCTCTGCCCACGGCAGGGAGTTATAACTGGATGAGCTTTAAAGTCCCTTCCAACACAAACCATTCTGTGATTCTATTCTATGATTCTAAAAAGCACTAGTGTACAAACTGAAGTTTCACATCATCTCCACAAGTTGTATTATATGATTATATATTTATTTATTCAGTCAATTAAATGCAACAGTATTTTTTTTTATCTGGATGTATATTAACCTGCAATCCAA